AGGCGCATTAAACGTGAATGCTCTCTTCATGTAAACTAGACGTGCTACAAAAGCACATACGTTTTCGATACTCCATAATTGAAAAAGGTGAATAATGGAATATAGAATTTTTTGGGGGATCCTCACAACATTCTGGTGTGTAAAAGGTTGGAATTGATTAAGCGTAGGGCCGCTAAATTTACTTTCAGAGAGAGGAAAATGGCAGGATGGGATTCACTTGAAAACATACGACCAGCATCCGGACTGTGCGCTTTGTATTAAGCTTATAGCTGTAATCGAGCTTGGAAATTAATTAATCGGCGGCCAACTATTCCTACATACATCAGTAGGAGGGATCACAGGCACAAAATGAATTTAAGGCTTCAGAGAACGGATGCCGGCAAATTTGCGGATGGACGGATGGACGAACAGACAGACAGACAAACTATTCCCCTCATTCTATTTTTCGGTATCAATGACCCACAAAACATGATTGTGGATACACCAAGTGTTAGATTTTTTCTGAATTTAGCAACTGGATTTATCCTTATTTTCGCTACCAGAATCAGGTAAAAAGAGATTATTGTTCCGTCAAAAACGTCACCATAACAAAACGTTCTCTTTTTGTCGGAAAAATCGGAAAAATAAAAAGGAAAGTCCATGTATATCTGTGTTATTTGTTCTCAAAATTGGTGCCGGCAAACACAATTAGTATTTTTATTAATACTTACGACAATACACGGTTAAAAACTGTGTATGCTGTAAGGGGAGAATAATATTCTGATAAGATCGACAGTAAATTTCAATTGTGTGCATTATGACACACGTATAGATTATTCAATGCAAATACATTGTTCTGTATTTTAAAACCAGTGACCCAAATATCTAACTGAGAAAGATCGTCACGCTTTTTTGTGATTTTACCTTTCGCTGGACACGTTAAAAAGTACCTCGGTAGAGTTTTTATACCTATAGCCGTAAGTGTATTAAGATACTGCTATCAAGGGAAGAAATATATTAGGAAATAACGATTAAAATGAAAACATTAATGTGTTTATTGTAAAATTAGTTTATTACTTAATGATTCGTCCATTTTACAGTCTTTTCTTTGACAACATGATTACACTGGTTTATCTCTCTGTGTTGATTTGTTTGCTTTCTCAAATAAACTTAGCAATACAATAAGAAGTGCGATAGGTTATAGAAGCAATAAATTCATAGAAATATAAACATGAACAATAACAATGACGTGTAGAAAGTCATTGACGTGAATTTTAATTATTAAGAATATAAGAGAGGGTCACAATAGTTGATATTGAGGAGAATATATAATATATGTGGGGAATAAAACAGTTAAAAGAACACTTGAGCAAATTGCTTAAAATAGAAAATAATTTCAGAAAATTAAAAATTAAAAAGAACCACAGAATAAACACAGTGACCAATCAGGAATTAAATCGTGTGCGAGATATAGAATAGTGGTCGCACTAGAGAGAAGAAGAAACGCAATTTCGCGCAAGGCTGGGAAGAGCTGAAGAGCGCGCAACATAAATTATCTGGGGCAGATGATGCTTGGACTTGGTAGTGTTGGGGGGAAGGGACGTTTTTCTCTGAGTCGGACATATAGAAGTACATTACGTAAATCGTAAAGAGATGTTACGAGTCAGTAATATTTATTTCTTAAAAGTAAAGGTAAATGTATAATTAGACAGGGAAGATTATTGCGTGTGTGGAGGTCGTGCATACTATAGGAGTGGACCAAATTCAACGGGAATGACAGGGAAGTAGAGACAACGTTCATGAAAACAGTGGCTCTTACGAACGCAAAGTAGCAAACCGGGGAACATTTTTTGTTCACCATTGTAGGAAGACCAACTTTTGTATTAAATTAAAAATTATAATTACTAATTAAAAGTGAAAAATGGTCATGCATCCAAAGGGGAAGAATGTAGAAAAATTATTATAAAATGATAATAAGGGGGCTTTATGAAAAATGTTTTTATAAAATTGTGATGATCAAATCCAATTGGCTAGTAGCTAGAAGCGGCAAGAAAAATCGGAGAGCAAAAACGATAAACTTTTTAAAATACAAAATGCCCCAATCAGTGTGGTGTATGTCTGGTAATATACTAATGGTTTTAATTTCACGAGAAAAATAGTTATGCGTAAATAGGTCATCACTGAACATCTGCATAGACCATCTATTGGAGTCAGTTTTATGCATTTTTTTCATGACAGGGCAATCTTGTACAACCTTCGCGCTACTGTCGGGAAAAATTTCAAATAGTACTTTAAGCAGAAATCCAAAGTTTTTCTTATCATTAATAATTCAAACTTTCTTTTCTTACTAAGAAAATAGTCACGTTACAAGAAAAATGTCAATGAAAGATGAATGAAAATAGGGAATGAACATACACAATATCACTTCTCGTAATTTAAATTTCAAGCTTTTATCAAATAAGGACCATACCCGGAGTATCTGGATACAACACACTACGATAACGTTGCGCAGTCCCACTAAACACATTGAAAATATGCCTAACACTCAATATCAGAATGTTATGTGAATACATGTGTTTGAATGTTATACTTCATTCAAAGCCATGGCCAACTGTAATTTTCGTAGTGGTCTTCAAAGATCCCAGGTGCCCGTCCTAAGTGTATTTGTTTCTGGCACATTTTTGAAGCAGAAAAAAATTGTGGAGTCTGCATATTGTACAAAATGAACCAAAAAGATATTTCGAAAAGAGTTGGATAGTACGGAATTGAAATGCACATCTCAGAGCCGTAACGAGATCGTCAGAGATTTTTATTGCTCTATATAGAGTACGTTCGGTGTAATAGACCCTCTCGTTATGAGAGCCTATTTACAGCACTAATGAATTACATAAATATTTTATTTATAAGTTTATGATGCAAATAAATCATAGATCCAATATAAAGCACAAAATATATCCCTTTTTTAAAAATTCTTAGGCCAGTGTACAAAAAAACAAAATTGAAAGTGAATGAAGATGAAACGAAGAAACAAACATTTAGCATTAGGATGATAATCGCAATATTATAAAAAGATGTTTGCATGACTTCAACAAACATAAAGGAAGCATTTTTTAAAATAATATCTTGTAAAATATGGTATGGAAGCATTTGTTACAATAATTTTTTCGGTCATTTTTGTTTTTCCAAAAAAGTGTTTCGTGGGCTTCTAAGATTTAAAATAATTTACATTTTTTAACCTGTGAATGTCGAATTTATTTATGAAAATTAAACAACAATTGTATAAATATATAACAAAAGGTTCAGGTTTATTTTTTTTTACTCTCAGTTCTTCAATTTCTTGTTCAGTATCTGAACAGTGCAAACTATCTAAATCAAATAATGGATCAGCAATTACATCATCACTTTAAAAACATTATGATTTTATATCTTTCGGATTTAGTGCATTAAAATAACTCTTGGATGAGCTGCCCATGTTTGTAAAAAAGTCACGTAAACAGGAACGTAGTGTCTGCTGGACCCATCAACAATTTCGAGCGGGAATAGCCCACCAAACTTTACTTTTGATAAACTCAAACGAATGGTCGTCATCTGTTCAGGGAGATGCAATTTGAAAGTAGACTGGTGTATAAGTAAAGAAATAATTTCCTTCGCCTGACAGTCACCTTCAAAGATGTCAATGAGTAAGATAGACCCAACGGTTCCACTGGCTTACTAGGCCAATCAAAATTGAAGGAATATATGTCGAACATTAGTGTTCTTCCGGGCTTTTACAGAGAGTTTCTTCATAGTGCCAGTTTGGAGTGTTACACCTGTTGAGGTAAGGCGAATTGGTAAACAATGACAACGCAAAAGTAGGAAAGAGCGTATCTGTTTCCCAGTTTGGGGATTAGTATTTCAGTAGTTTTTTCGCCTTTTTGTGTTCATCACTCTGTTTTGTCATGGGGAATGTTGCAGAAAATTGGTATTTTATAAATCAAACGGACTACACATGGATTTACAACACTCGAAAACCACAGTCTGTTACGAAATTCCAATGCGCTTTGAAATTAAAAAAAAAATACAATACATTTTGCGGCCGGTATATGAATTTGTTAGATATCCAAGAAGAATATCCCAAAACAATGAAACAATTTCTATTTTGACTGAAAAATACAAATATTTGATTACGTCATTCTTCATATTTTCGTACATTACACGACGCGGCGAAATGACATCCTTCGTTCTTCGGTTGGTCGAGTAACACCAACTGATTTATATAACTCAGTACTTCACTGCATACCACACAGCCGACGTCATGCTGGAGTATGACTCCAAGGAAGAGGCGACCATCATTAAATATTACTATTCACGTATTGTAATAAAAAGCAGCGCATTTTTTAATATTTTTGGAAAGTAAACAACTTTTGTAGTATATCCATAGTTGATTCTCTATTATGTTGTGACTTACTCATGAAGACCGTTTTTGTTAAAATATTTAATTTACGGGAGCGTTTTATTTCTTGTTCTTGAGCAGTGAACGGGCTAGTTCATGGAAAACACTTTTGTGTTGCTTGGTTAGCAGCCTTTGCTGCGACCCGTGCAAATAACAATTTTCAGCTCTGGATGACATTAAAAATAAAAGTTTGCGACCGTTTTATATGGATGGGGAATTTGAGTGTGTTCAGGTAAAAAGAAAAATAAGAGTGAGTTTGAAGAAAAGTTGAAATAAATTTTCGCTCAATGATCATTGAAAAGCGGAGAGTATTTCAGAAAAATTAAATTCAATGCAATTAAATATATTTTTATGTAGATTGTAGTTTTGCCAAGAACACTATCCTTTATCCGAACACTAATAATTACAAATTTGTTTTCTTTTTGAACTATTGTGGCCAAGAGATAAATATGGAAATGCGTTGTGTGGTTTTACATACGTATTTTTAAAGGTAAGATGTGTTATTTGAAAGATAGTGATGGAAGACTTCAATATCATTTATCAATAAAGAGACAAGACTGATCATGTTAAGGAAACAATAAGAAATAAATGTAACACTTTTTGGAAATTTTTTTATTAAAAGATTTAAAAAAAGAATGCAAAATAAACTTAGTTATGTAACATATTTACTTGAACGAATTTAATTTTGCGAGTGGAGTAGCAAATTACAGACGGTATGCCAATAAAGTTTTTCAGTGTAGAGGAGTGTTTAATACCACTTTGTATTACCTATGATAACTTAACAATTGAAGGTTTTTTGTCACATTGAAGAAAACCTCTAGGTTGAACATTTACAATTTCATAAGAATTTTTGCGTCATTTGAATCTTTTATTTCAGAAACCCGATAAACGCCAAAATCTAAAATACGCATTAGCGGCAGATTATTACTCCAAGAGATTATTGCTACACATCGTATAGTGCATATTTATCCAAAAATATTCATTTGCCATTTCTTTAATAAATAAAAAATATTTTGAAATTAGAAATTGGTAGAAATTTTGTCAGTTTTTTGAAAATGAGGTATTTTGGCGTTTGATGGATTTCTGAAATAAACAATTCATTTGGGAGAAACACTATACTCGTTGCTTTTCGCATTCAAAATAGTTTAACTTCTACCTTACTTTAACAATCACACTTCCTAAACATACAATTGTTTCTTAACATACAATGGCAGTGTGACCAGGAAATATGAAACTTTCTGCATCATGATTCGCAAGTTATCACACACAACGGAATGACTAAATACTAAGAAAATCAAAATACAGTTATTGCAGACGTGATTCATTTCTGCTGAGGATTCGTCACTCTTCCCAAGAACAGAAGGACCTCTTCTTTGACAATAAAGAACAAGAAAGGATGATCGGCATGGAACTCAGCTCGAGGAGGAGGAATAGAGAAGTACACGAAGTCAATTCCTGTGAAAAGTAAAGAAACATTATTAATGTAAGAATTTTACGTTTGCAGACTTTTTACAATGAAGAAAATATAAGGTAATCTTAATATTATTATAGTAGATTAGAAAGTAGTTCGGTTGTTCTTTTGCATTAGGAATTTTTTTGTAGGCGTAGGAGTGTAACGATAGCATTATGTACACACTTTAAATTCCTTTCAAGAACAGTTAATTCTAATTTTGATCATAAATGAAGAACTAATTACAGTAGCAGAGGGAAATGCTTTTCTATTTTTTCCCGTGACCTGATCTGTTTGTACATCTTAAAAGATTCCCAAGTAGCTATTGTTTGTCTTTATTTAATTGTTATTGATTGTGAAAAGCATTAATAACTTTAATGAAATGATTTTGTTGTTCAGAATATTATGTACGAATTTGTGTTCGTAATATTGTGTTATTGTCTAAGATAATCAGTTTTGCTTACAATTAAGATTCAGAGTTTGTGCAGAGAAGGTAGCTGAAAAATTACATTAAGTTATTGCAAATAGATCTAAAAATATATAATTATAATTATTAAACAATATGGTATTGTAAAATATTACAACTATAAAAAACTCTTACTCTCCGCGAACGCCAGCCGTCATTATCGGCTTCTGTTGTCTATGCGGCGTCTATTCGTTTTCACATTTAACGCAGTTTATTAAAGGACGCAATTTAAAATGAAAAAACGTAAATATATAATAAATAATAATAAAATGGTAGGTGAAGAAATTTCAGATTGTAACTTACATAACATCCAACTACGTAAATTGGAAGCCAGCGACTGATGGCTAGAAATCATTATTTCATATTTATTTCAAATAGGTTTTAAATAAATTTTTAAATATTAATTTGTAAACCTAACGAAAAGCTTCAATCTAAAAAACGAACGAATGAATATTAAATATGATATAATATGCTATTTCTTGTGGCTCAGTGGCGAAGTTGCTTCCGTTTCATTTCATTCGATTCCCGTAGAATCCCCGTAGAACCTCATGTAAAATTTGTTGTTACGACAAACGAGTTTGCTTGCTGCACAGGGGCTACTCCTGTCCAACCCCTGTGAAGCGTCCTAAGACCTACCCATATCCCTATTCCTTCCCAATTCTGGCCGATGGGTAGATGACGCAAGGCGCGAGCCAGACGCGCCCTTGTATACGCTACATATCGGATATTCCCTAGCTTGACTGCGACGGACGTGACTTTGAGTACCCAGCGGGCCCTAGAGAGTGCTGGGTTATTAATAACGGAGGAATACTTCAAATAACATGAACGGAGGATTACTCCACGGTGCGCTCAACGCTCCTTCAGGAGCTAAGAGACACGTTGCATCTATATAAACGCAAAAAATTTTAAAAACTATACACATTCTAACTTATGTATCCAACTGCCTCAAAACACTTCTAAATTTACTGCACTATTTTATTCACTTTTGTCATTATTTTTAGAGTGAAATTATTTAATTCAATTTTTAATTTTTTGTTATTACTAAATAATATTATTATCAAACGCCTAAAACGTGGACTCAAACTTACCAGTAGCGGCGGCTGCTTCTATGCCGTTTTCGTTGACATCTATAAAGGTTTTCTGCACTGCTTTGCTCACGAACAGGCCTTCATTGGCTATTCCACTGAGATTTGCGTTTCTGGTGAAGAGATCGTTTACACCGAGCTGTGAAAAAATAAAAAAACCCTACTTGTTACATTGATTGTATTACATTGATTGCATGTCAAATGAAAATATTATTCAACCGTTATTATTTTTATTATTTTTTTATTTTTATTATTTATTATTATTATTATTGTTATTATTATTATTATTATTATTATTATTATTATTATTATTATTATTTGCCAGTCTGGGTACTCTGGTTACTAACGGCGCTGCGGCTCTGGCTGAAGAGATAAAAGGAAATGAATGAAAACGACTGAAACGATTAATGGATTACTCCACTACACATTCGTAGACAGTAGGTTGCTATAACAGAAGGTTGTTAAGAATTTGTTACGAGAACGATTTCTCAGCGCTTCGCTTTATGGAATATTAAACACTTATACAATATGCAGTTTATTTCTTATGAAGCATGTTTTCATTTCGTTTGTTTAATTTGATTTATTTGTTTGTTTCTAATTGTTTATCCATTGCCAAATTATTATCCAAATTGAAGCAATAATTGCGTAGGGAGTATGTGTATGGAGTATAGTGTGCATGAGTGTGTGTGTGTGTGTGTATGTGTATGTGTAAGGAGTAACGTGTATGAGCATGTTTACGTGCATGTGCATGGAGTACCAAACATTTATATGATGACAAAACCCATTTTTGTCTGTGCGTGTCCGGTCGCCCTTTTGTGATCAATGCTAGCACCTACACCGATCAGATAATTTTCTCCATAAGTGATATTTCCCGATCGATCTGGTAGATAACGAGGCCCATATAGTTAGAAATTAGTATTTTGATTTTTGGGCCTCAACATCAAATTCAAAATCAACATTGCAAAGTAGTACAATATTGATGGTCGATATGTTTTTTTCACATGGCAAATGATCTGAAATATTAAACCTTGATATAAAGATGTGTAGAATTATTTTTTAAAAAAGCTTATTATATATTTAGGAATTTCTGCTGTTTCTGCGGTAAAGCATTTTTTTTAAAAAATTCGAAAACGACTAATTATTTTCTTAAAATTTTCCCATCAGATGTAGTAAAGCATTTCAAAAAAAGAGATGCATCCTTTTCAGAGAAATTACTGCATTTTAGAAAATGGCAAAAAAATGGGCTTTGCATAAAGTACAATATTGATTATAGAATCAATAAAATCTGTACTGCATTTCGAAGAACAGTAGTTTTCCCGTAATTTCAGCTTCAAGTGAATTCATTTTTTTAAACGGCTCCAATTTTTTTTCCTCGGATAGAGCAAAGAACGCTTAAAAATTGGCGCATATTCCATATTGTAAAGGATTGAGATCAATACCGCTGGAAATTTCCAAATCCAATGATAGTACGAAGATGAGTTTCCATTTCGGTTATTAAGCAGAAATATTTCAATACGCGCACCAAGTAGACCAAATTAACCCAACTTATTTTGATCTCAAATGTACTGCAAATTTGCAGTGGCTAGACTCACAGGTTCTCTGTACGTTTTGAGGGCTAAAGGTAGGATACTTGTGGTCTTGTAAATACTCGAACGAAGAGAGTCATATATTCTATATCATACTAACGATCTTTTGAGCTAGCTTCACCCAACTCTTAACACGTAGTACAATGTTCGCCATGCCTACAGTGAATTCTGTAAGTAAAGACTAAGAAGGTATATCATTACTCGATACCGAAACGTTTCTAGCTATTCTTGTGAATAATATGTTTATCAACAAAATAAAATACTCTACCCTCGGACCCTTTATTCACTCGTTATTTTAATTCATTTTCCTTACATGCACTTTTTTAACCGTTAATTTATTAGGTGAATTTTTTGCATTCATCATGGGAGTTACATTTATTTTTTTGGTAAATGGTTGGTTTTTAATGATTTTTTATGAAATTGAACATTTTTACATTCTCACGCTTCAGAAGAAACTTAAAAAGAGAAAGTTATATGAAAGTGCGCGATAAACCGCGAATTTTTGGCCGAAAAATTTACAGGACCTGGTACCGGATAGGACCTGGTAAGGAAGTGAATAAATCCAGTTGCGAAATTAAGAATTTGTGGTTTATTAATACCGAAAAATCGACTGACGGCTTAACCTCTGTTCGTCCGTCCGTCCGTCTGTCTTTCTCTGAACAACGTTACTGGATAAACCGTTCAGCCAAATTTTCCAAACTCGATATTCACCGATCGATCCGGCTGATGTCGCGGCGCCTTGAATTTGAAGTTTTAATTTCAATTCTGAGGCGTACTTATTGTATATAAAGCCAAATTGGACATTGTCAACATTTAAAAAAATCGAATTTGATTAAAATTAGTTGTTGGATAGTCTGAAGAACATTTAAAATAATGGCACAGGTGTCGTATTCGTTAAAAAATATTATTTTTCAAAATTGAAAAAAGTAATTTTTTCAGTTTTCCTACAACTAAAATATTTAAAATAGAGATTTTTTCCTTAATGAAATCTGTTCAGTCAAAATAGAATTTGAAATACGTTCATATGCAATGTTTCGAAAATTTGCGTAATGTTGCGTGAAATATAGGTAATTTTCGTTTAAACAATTTTTTCTCATATATGGCTCTATTATTTTTAATAAAATTTTTTGGGTAGATAGCCTGAAGAACATTTAAGAAAATGGTGCAGGTTTAATGTTGGTTGAAAACCGTGATTTTTCGACAGTTGAAAAAATTCAAAATTTATTCGGCGGCTACAGCTACAATTATGAAGATTTTGTTTTGTTAATGAAATGTGTTCAAGAACAGATTTTTAAATACGATCATGTTGAATTTTTTGAAACAATGAGTATTTTTGGAGTAATACGTCGTCAAAGTTAGTCGTCCGCTCTGAAAATCACGCCCTCCTTAATCGTAATTCGATGTTTTGAGGCAGTTGGATGTTACGTATGTGAGAATGTGAATAGTATTTCAAATTTCTTTGTTCGTTTCTTAAATTGAAGCTTTTGTTATACATTTAAAAATTAATCTATTAGAAATTATTTAAAACCTATTTGAAATAAATATGGGATAATGATTGCTAGTCTTAAGTTGCCCGCTCCCGATTTACGGAGTTGGATGCTATTTAGGTTAGAATTTATATATTATTTTAAGTATTATTTTATTATCATTTATCATATATTTACGTTATTTCATTTTAAATTGCGTTCTTTAAAAATTGTGTTAAATGTACACATGAATAGATCTGTGGTAATAGTTGGTTGTTGTTACTCATTGTGGTAACACCGCGCTGCACAGAAAACACGATAATGTCGGCTGCTTTTAATTCCCCGAAATACTTTTAAATATTTGAAGAATATTACAATACCATAGTGCTTAATAATTACTATTATATACTTTTTGATATATTTGTTTTCCAACACTATCAGTATCGTATTATTTATTAACTTTTAAATCTCTTATTTTCTTGCTTTGTGCTTATTTTTGGCATCAAATGTTCTTCAATTTCAAATGAGTTTACAAAAAACAATTAGGAAGCAAATTTTGATATAAATCTTACTTTATACCAAACTACTGGCAAAGTACGTGTTGCATTAGCACCACTAGTTTTTTTTAGTTCGTACCTGTTGTAATTGGACATCCAAATTATGAGTTGCTTCAATTAGAAATCTTGGTAAAGAGATATTGACTGATCTCTTCTCCCAGGCAATGGCATTGACGTCCAGAAGATGAAGATTTGTCTCTAGTTGGGGTAGTCCATCCACCGAATTGGGAAGAACAATAACCATTTTCAGTCCACGACCATCCTGTAGACATGAAGAAGATGACATTTTCATAAGTCCTAGATAGGATACACTAATTTTTATGTCTTCTGCTAAAAAAAGAAAACTCTTTTAGTAAACGTTTAGAGTATTTTAATGTAGTATCGGAATGCAAAGGCAAATAAAAACGAAAATACACAAAAATTATTTCTAAACTTCCTTGTGGCAAATCAGTGCAGATAAACCGTAATATCGAAATGGAAAATTCATGTTATTCAATGGCGAACGTTGTATACCCAACCCACATTCAGAGTAACTTTACAGTGAACGATAATACTCAGCAGTGGAAAATTCACAGCACTTGCTGACATTCAGTAAATTTGTGGAGTATGTTTATCAATCGAACTATCCACATGACAAACATGTATCTTCTCCCCCACAGGTCACATACAGTTTTTACTGTTTTTTTTTATTAAATAAATCTAGAACCATCTAATATACCTGAAAACAATGTTTCTTTTGAAGGTTTATTTCGACCCAATGAAACTTCTGTAAATGGTGAAAATTCGTCGGGCTATAAATCACAGAACATGCCATATCATTGAGCCACTACATGCCATAATTTTCATACCAGACTTATTGAGTTTTGCAAGGTTAGTTTAAAGCCGTGGAGTACCAGTTTATTAACACACAGCGGAAAGGAGGTTGTAGAAACACGAGGTATTCAGATTAACAGAGATTTTTTTTAAGGATATTCGCTCTTCTCTCTGCTTCTTTGCGTTAGTTTGATTCCATTATCTAGACAGTTGTGGCACACTAACTTTGGTGACAAGGTCCATGGTAATGAAAGACCCGTATTAAATTGGTTTTACATGGATAATTTTAAAGTATTTCCTGAGAATGAGCGATTTTCTACTAACTTCTGTCTGCCGTCAATTACTTAAACAATGACATGTGCATGAAATTTGCCTCAACCTAAATTCAAAAGTCAATTTACAGATAAGCAAAGTGACGTCAGAGAGCATTGAAATTGATATTCACACTGCGATACCCATCGTGAATGACACAATGACAAAAAGAATTCGCAGCGAGTATTACAGAAGAGAGAGACTTTTCCTGCAGTCTGCTCGGAACTCCGGGAATAAAATATCTGCAATAAGTAGTTTGGCGTTGCCTCTAGTAGAGTACATTTTCGAGCTAGTGGACTGAGCTGACCAAGAAATTCGAAGCAGAGATAAAGAACGAAAACTGCTTACAATGGATCATTTCGAATTGATATACAAAGGCTTTGTGTCACTTCTGGAATGATGAAGAGGCTTCAGACCAATTGAAGCTACTGGCACAATGCAGAAATTGGGGTGGGATGTAATCAATTATCAAGATGACAGAGACTGCCCATTAAATCTGACCGAAGAATGGGAAACTGACGCATTGTCAGTAAAGAAAGAAGTATTGCGAAGAAAACTATTCAAGACACGTAGAATAACACAGACACTAAACTTCTGATGCTACTTAACATGCAATGTGAGACACAAAAATGTTTAAGAAATCGTAGATATATAAACTATTCAGTGTAAAATATCTAAAAAGAATTGACAAGGAGCAAATCAATAAAGATCAATCATCTATGTAGCTCAAAAGGGGAAGAATGAAGAATTTGGCTAAACTCGCAAGTAATTTGAAAGAATGAGAAGTGCAAAACTGCTTTATTGGGAACAGCCCACTTTTGATGCAAAGTATTGCAGAAACATCGACAGTTCCTAAATCTGCTCCTTAGGAAACAGGTTGCAACCTGAAGTACATTTTATATTCAAGCGACTCTTAAGATTTTAAGCTATGAGTTACCGGAGTAATAGTAATAATAATATTATAATAATAAGAATAATAATAAAAATAATAATAAAAAGTAAATAATAATAATATAATATAATAATAATAATAATAATAATAATAATAATAATAATGATAATAAAAATGCTTACTTCGACAGGGAGTTGTAGAGCAGTTGCCTTCAGATCCGCCATGTTTGCAAAAAGAAAATCGTGGTATTTCCTCATTGTAGGCACTTTGACAGTAGATGTCGGAGATAAGTGAAATTCTTTCATTTCAGTTTGTTTTACGTCGAATGTATGCAACCAGATAGCTTTGAGATAAACAGCATTAACCAAAATGAGGAGCGATGAGGAAGAAGGTGAACCTGCAAAGAGTAATTAATAATTATTATTAGTGAATGTTTCTATTCTGTTTAAACTGAAGGGCAAAATGACCTTTATCTATCGACATTGATTCTCTTTGAATTTTCCTCAAAATTGGATAATTGGACATAAAAGACATTGAAGGGACAAAGTGGCACAAAGAGGTGGCTGTGATGAATCACTTACTCATTATGTATTTAACATCATTCTATTTCCACTCATACAACACGAATGTTTTGTAACATTAAAGAATAGTTTAAAAGAGAGGAAGTATGTAGGATATAATTTAGTTTTCACATTCATGAAATATCGTTTAAAGAACGAAAGATATTTTTCAATGAAGAAGTGTGTAAGTGATGACTTTTGTAATAATAATTTAAAATTAGATGAAGCCTCATCATAAATTGACTTTAAATTCACAATCATTCGTGAAATTAAATTCACATTGTATGAGACTTCATAATATTTCATTAATAATATAGAAAAAGACTTGATTCTTGAAGCCTGGCCCTGGGTCGTAGTTAATACTTGTGCTAAAATGTAAACAAATAAATAACAGGAAGAAGAATTATTAATAAAATTTGCTATTGACAAGGGCTGCTAGATCTTTGAGTTGTGTACTCGTCCACCAAACAAGAAATCAAATCGTAGTTCATTCCACTTGCTATGTTATGTTGACGACATTATGTAAGTTGCCCAACACACAATTATCCTCAGTTAAACACCTGAAAGAATTTATAGAGACAAATACCTTTATCTCTAGCAATTGTTTCTTTGTCTTGTACTTTTCCAAGATCTGCGCTAATTAATTACTAAATAACGAGGGGCATTCCTTAAACTCGGCGGTAAGAACTAAACTCTTGCATTTATAGTAATTTCAACAAAAAAACAATATTAACTAAATGTAATGAGGGTAGTGCCTCTTATTTTAAAGATTTCATTTATTATAAATTGTTATCGACCAATTTCTCTGAGAAACTTATTAGCAAACATTTTTATTCTCTCGTGTATTTTATGCGGAGTAATTTTATATTGTAATACTGCGAGAAGAAACGGCGGTTTTTCACAGAAAGAAAGTTTTTGTCTTTACTTGGACACAAAAAATTGATATATCTTGATTCTGTATTTCTTCTTATTCCTTCACAATGCGTATTCAGAATCCATGTTTTGTGGGTTCTTGATACCTAAAAATCGATTGAGGGCAAAAACGGCTTTTTGCGGCCAAACCTAGCGCTTAAATCGTTCCGACGACTTTCTGCAAAATTGATATTGCCCGATCTAACTGAATGAGCTTGAGGTTCTGCAACTTGGCTTTGAATATCGTAAAGAATTCTTAAAAACTTCGTGTGTCTCATTTTCGTTAAATTCTTTGATCTTTTAAAAAAACATGAAAATTAAAAAAATATTTTTCAACGTTGGCACTACCCCAGCCGGGACAAGCCCTAAACACCCGACAAGTGTCCCGGCGTGTGTGGTAGCATAGTGAATGTTAATTGTGTGTGTCTGTGTGTGTGTGTGTGTGTGTGTGTGTGTGTGGATGGGTGTGTAAGAAAGGGGTGAAGATATGGCAAGGAGGAGAAAGGAATGATCGCGCGCGGTCCGTGGCCCGTTTCTTAGGGTACTACTCCGGCATTCACATGGTGTTTACCGGAGAAACCACGAAAAAGTACAGATCAGAGCAACCGGCCTCGAGAATTCTCCTCCGCACAGCGACTAAATTCCACCTAGCTGACAAGCTAGTGCCAATACTCCTCCTACCGTCAGAACTCGAACCTAGGACCTCCCGGACAGAGGCACTACCGTGACATCAGTTGATGCCCTGAGTGCCTTCTCCCTGAAGACGTTCGAGTTTCTAGTAAACTTCATAAACTATTATTTGAAGCAATTCTATTCGCAAATGCTATAGCGTACCAGAAATACCTGTAATGTAAATATCGACGTGAGAGATTTTTGTAAAAGTAATTTTCGATAAAACAAATGACTTCATCAAAGTAATATTTATGTTGTACAATGAATATAGGGCTATCCTTATGAAATTTTAAAGAAAATATCAGGACACGTTTTCAAGTAAATGGTGTTTGAGCGTTACTGAAAATACACAATATTAAGCTCATTTTCAGAGAAAACTTTTCAAGAAACTTCATTAGAACTCTTCTAAAGCTTTTGTAATACAATAATGTTTAATGAATGTCCACAATACAAATTTTATCGCCGTCAGAAATATTTCAAATCAATTAAATTTGTATAATTTTTGATTAATCATGATGAATGAATGATTAAAAGACAACATTCAAATTAAGATTACGTCATGTTATTCGATGCATTTACCACTATACTTACAAATTGTTTAAAGAACAAACTGGAGTCTATTTTGAAAATATAGTGTTTTAATGTTCTCTATACTTCATTCAAATTTGCGCAAAAACTACTCAATTTACAAAAACGTATGCAATACCCTTTTTGAAGATCGAACTTTATTAAGAAAAAATCATATCTTTAATTTGGTAGTTGTTGAAAGACGCTGAGAAATTTTGAACTTCCAATTTGGAAAATGGAGAGAATTGAACGAAATTCGGACCTACGATTCTATTATATTTTTATATGCGTTCTATTATTTCCCGATAAAAAATTAACACCAAAATTTCGAGCCATTTTTGAGAATATTTTGAACGTGTTCTTTAAAGTTTAAAGAACGAAAATCAAAATTACAATTTATTTTCAAATTCAAAAATCGTCAAGGAAAATATCAATTTTGGTGAAAATTCTGCCAATCCATTAGCCACTAGCATTGTTGACCGGCTAAAAGGCAGATTATACGTTTTGCCGTAAACTGGTTTTTAGGTGGAGAGGTCTCAAAAACAGTGATTGTGACTGAACGATGTGTTAAGGATGTAATTTGTTTCAATGTAGGAACAAGAATTATCCCCCCTGTCGGTATTTGCATCTAAAATACGAATTGGTTGTTTTTGGTCGTATCATTACATAACTTTATACTAGATATGTTGTATGCGAAAAAGAAACAAACATTCTTGACCCCAAAGTTGAATCCTTTAGGAGAAATTACGCTTTAACAGCAGCTCCTTAATCGTGTCAACGGTGTTGCCCTTTCAACAAGCAAGTCACACCTCTCAAGCAATAACGTTGGTGTTGGTGCGCTTACCCCTTGGGAAGAGGTCCTTGATCTTGTCGGCTGTGTACTGCTCCACCCAGCGGTTGATGGCGCTTCGTGCTCCGCCTGCGTCACGAGCGAAGTCCAGCTGCTCGGCATCCGCCGCGAAGAAACTTGACGCCTTCAGCCGGAAGTCTTCCTTCAGACGGAAGCCGCTCTGGACGTACAGTTTGTTGGCGAAGCGCAGAATTACTTCCTGGCTGGGTTTCAGGGAGGTCTAAACCGAAAAGTGTTCTGATTAGAGAAATATCGATGGTAAAAATTGAAGCCAACTGTACTCCAAATGTCTAAACTGTGAAATCGACAATGTAGCTGCTGCTTTCGCGAAGATAGATCCATGTGTATGGTCTATACCAGGCCTGCTAGGTTTTTTGCAATTTCACTGACCTTGCAAGCCACAAAAGAAGTGAGCAAAAGAAGTGAGCGCTCAAGCCACTCGAGTGCAAATCCAGGCAGTGTAGTTTGGCAGATCACTAATTCCAGGAGTGAATGAGGCAATGAGAATGCCAAATTCGAATCGTAGCGCGTATATTGACAGAGAAATTGACGATAATATTGCGGGCTGTAACATACACTTCAACTAATATCGCCTATTACATTATATTGGAGATGTTTGTTGTAGGTAGATTACAATGAGAAGTATGAACATGAAAAAAAAATTAGAAATATATATTTGATATGGAAATCAAGAATTATAAATGTTCATAGGGCCGATAATGCAATTCGCTTTGCATCGATGAGATCACCAATTTAGTGTAGTGCGAAACACAAAATTGCAATATTGAATCGTTTGACGATGACTGTATTAAACTATTTTTATTAACCATGTTAATAAGATGGTTCGATCAATGTAGAAAATATTCTTAAAAATCATAATTACTTTCTGTTCTAGTTTTCGACAAGAGTAATTTATGTATTTTTAATATCAAATCAGCGAATACTATTTATTCATAATCGTGTGCGAAGTTGATATATTTAAAATACATTAACTGAATTTAAAACTTAAATATCTCCTACATTAGGGATAAACGATATACAGTACTTAGGTCGTTTTAGTCAGATATTTTTCTGCGTTTGGCTATATTTGGAGATTGTAACTTTGTAAATTGTAAATGTATGGCAGTTACAATTAAATGATATTATTTTTAAAAAGGCAGCTACTTCGACACATTGTTTAAAGTCATAATGAGAAAACATTTTTAAAAACAAAAAAAGTAAAATATGACGACACATAACTATGCAAAGAAGAACGTACACAGTGAATTATGGCCGGGGCATTTCCCTCTTTAAAGGGCAAATAATTTCACGGCTTGGATCATTGCATTCGCCGCCCAGACGTGCAATGTACCGGCCGCGTCGATCCTTCTATGCAGTAGCAAGCAGACCCCCCTCCCTCGAAAACTGCCTAACCCCCCATTACTTGCACTTGCACCGCTCTCGCAGGCCAGGCTTATGAGTGCAGAATGTCCGCCGATCAGGCGTTGTGCGGGCCAGGTCTATATGGTAAATTGTCGTTTGAAAGCTGAGAATTTACTACAACAGTCATGTCATCAGTATTCGTCTATTGACAATTTGGAACAGAGCTATTCACAAATAAAATGTATAATAAAAATACATTTTGCACAGAATATGAGTATTCAAATCTGATGCAACCTTGATGTCAACCAACTTTGATGGCTTCGCGAAGAATTGCGAGGTACTTGCTTCACTGTTAGCAATATTTTGCCATACCATTCCAATTTTAGAATGTAAAGAACAAATTATGGATAATGAAGGAAATTTGTGATTATGGGCCCAGTGAGATTACAACTGCATTGAACTCTAAGAGAGTTATAGTTCCAAATATTGTGAATATTGTGCTGGAGTGTGAAATTCATGTGAATTTGCGAGGGTTTGAGAGGGTGGTGTAAGTGATGTCCTTACTTTTCCTAATATATGCCAACCAAAGGAAAGAATAAATTTAATATTTGATAAATCATGAACATAAAAACCGACAATAATGAATGTAAATAAACGATTTCCTGTACAGAAAATAATTCGAAAGTTCTTAACGAACATTTTAAGTAGCATTTTCTACGTTTAATAATATTTTAAAACACTTGAATAAGATGTGGTGGTTTCATGTACGCTCCCTTAATTTTTTGAGGATTCCTTCGAGCAATCCCTATAATAATTAATCCTTTCAACCCTCAATATGAATAATAATCCTATTGAATGCCCAGCCTCTTCGACAGACCTAGTGTCCGTTGTAACGCGGCAGTCACTTTGAATTTCGCGCTCGATAGTAACATTTAAACTCGATTCTCGAAGACAAATCTTTTTTCGGAAAAACTGGATCTGCCATTAGTCATGAAAGTCAACATAGAATCTGGGATCTCGTTTTGTAGCAGGAGCTTGTAGACACCCAGTATATCCTACCTGTGATTATCCTCACGTGTTTGGGGAATTTATAAAATATGCTAATAAAATTTACATATATATAATATATAATATATAATATATACATTGTTGCTTAGTTACTCTTTACTGCTTTTATTGCAAAACTATTCATACTACGGATATTTCATTATAGTACTCCCCCATTAATCATTTACCATACATAGCATTTTATTCCCTCATTCATCATTAACTAATATACATCCTCCATCTTGATCATTTAGATAATTTATGTCTATTGGGAGGAAGAAGAACTGGAAGATGTATTTAAGCCTACTTGAGAATATTTTGAGGGATTATTTAATGACGATTAATACAGGAGAGATGAAAATAACGTGATGAGATACGATAATAAAAAGAATGAAATGTGATGAGTAGTAAAATAACTAAAGCTAAATGTAAGTAAATGTAATCAAATGAAATGCCATAATGTAAAGGTAATACTGAGTTTTCCGAATATTTTGATAATATAATGCAAAGCAATAAGACGTCGAAAGTTGACAGTTGAAACGTTTAACAAAGAACGAGGCTTCCGGCTCCGCTTGTCGCATGCGCTGACTCACTTGCAGTGAAGAGACGAGCGCCTTGGAGCCCAACGCCACGACCCTTTCGTCCTGAGGGAGGTGCAGGGCGCGGCCCAGCTCCTGGGCGGTGAGCCCGCCGGCGCCCATCCACGTCAAGGCCAGCAGCAGCCCTGCGCTCAGCGGAGACAGCACCACGTTGCCCTTCGTCGCACGTGCCCGCCGTCTGTGAGGGAAGAACGCCAGAAAAACATCCATCGAGCTGCCACCTTGATGTTGTCCTATCACCCTGCGTTCCCGCTCTCATGAAGAGTGAAACGCCGTGACGGAACTCTCTGGAGGTGACACTCAGCGGAGACAGCCCACGTGGCCCTCGCGTCCACTGGCCCGCCGTCTGAAGGGAGAAGACGCCAGGAAACAGTCCATCGAGCGGTCACCTTGATGTTTGTCTTCACCTACGTCCCGCTCTTCATGAAGAGATGAAAGCGCGTGACGGAACTTCTGGAGATGACACTCACGCGAACAGCACCACGTCGCCTCCGTCGCACTGCCCGGCCGTGTAGAGGAAGGAAACCCATGGACAGTCCATCGAAGCTACCTCTGATGGTTGTCTCACCCTACGTCCCGCGCTCATTGGAAGAGATGAAAGCCGGAAAGATCTCTTCTCGAGGATACCACTCACAGGAGAGACAGCAACACGGCCCTGCGTCGCGACTGCCCGCCGCTTAAGGGAAGAAACGCCAGAAACCGTTCCATCGACTGCAATCTCTGATGTTGTCTTCGACCCTTCATCCACACTGACCATTTAAAAGATAAACAGCCGTGAAGGCAACCTCTTCGGAGGATGACACTAAGCGGAACAGCACCAGCGTGGCCCTCCGTCGCACTCCCGCCCCTGTAAGGAAGGACGGCCATGAAAACAATCGTCAGACGTTCTCTACCCTAGCATCCCGCTCTCTGTAAGAATGAAGCTCTGACGGAACTCTTCTAGGAGGGAGACACTCAGCGAACACACCACGCTGGCCTCCGTCGCACTGCCCGCTCGTCTGTAAGCGAAGAAACGCCAGGTAGAAACCGTCCATCGAGCTTGCATCTGACGTTAGTTGGTCTTCACCCTACGTCCCCTCTCATTAGAAGAATGAAAGCCGTGGGGCGAAGAACTTTTCTTGGAGGATGACCACTCAGCGGCAGACAGCACCACGTGCCCTTCGTCGCACTGCCCGCCGTCTTAAGGAAGAACGCCATGAAACCTCGGCATCGAGCTGCATCTCTGATGTTGTTCTTCACCTTCATACCGCTCCATTATTAAAAGAGATAAAAGCCGGGTGAAGGAACTCTTCGGAGGATGACACTCAGCGAGACAGCACCACGGTGGCCTCCGTCCGCACTGCCGCCCTCTGTAAGGACAGGACGCCATGAAACAATCTTCGACGTGGTCTTCACCCTACATCCCGCTCTCTTTGAAGAGATGAAAGCCGTGACGGAACTCTTCTGGAGGATGACACTCAGCGGAGGCAGCACCACGTTGAATTCATTGCTCTTCACACCTTCTTCAAGAAGAGGAGAGTTATGAAACCTCTCGTCAATTCGCAATTTGAACGTTTGTTCACTACCAAGAGACAGCTCTCATAGTGATGGTCCTCCGCTGATGACACCACCACGTTGCTGCACGTCGAGCTGCAACATGAATATAGCTCACCGCCGAGGGAACTCATTAGGTTTCTTTCGATGGCCAAAGTGTGACATTGCCCTTAGTGCTCTCTGAAAAGGGAAGATAGCTAGCAGCTAAATTTCCTTGACAATGTTCTCCACAGAAACAGCACCATGTTACCCTCGGTGGCACTTTTCGCACTCCGCTAAAGTCGAACAGTTATAACAACTCTTCTCTTGGAAGAGTCTCCTAAACGGAGACAACACTACGATGCACTCGGCGGCACTATTAGTGATGGTAAAGAACATCAATATTTTTGTAACATCTTTATTTTCAAGCGTAATCATCAATATTATAACATCGATGTTTTGCTTTCAATGTTTTTTCTGATCGTTATAATTGTTCAGAAACATCGATGTTTTAAAAAAAACTCATGGTAGAAATAAACTTTTCAGTATCGTCTATATTTCTGTATTGCATTCAATAGCCATTGGCAATTGTCACTGGTGTCGATGCCCAGATGATATGAAACAGTTTGCTATTCGCAATCTTTCTCTAGTGTTATTACCTTCTTCGATTATTTTGCACGTGGTAAGATCGTTAAACTGCAATGTGAACCTTGACTTCATAGATTACAAAATTAAAATGGCAGTCAAAGTAAAGGCAGAATAAGCTTTAAACTATAATTGTATGTATGTTCTATGAATCACATCAGAACCAGGACATTTTACTTCGACATGTTTCGTCTTACTTAAAACCTCGATATTTTAAACTACGATGTTTTCATCGACATCGAATATATTTTGGTGATGTTTTGGTAAAATTTGTCAACATTAGGCACCATCCGCTCTGTGACTCTTCCTCTCTGAGGCACCCCCTCTCTCTGTGACTTGGTATCTCTCAAAATGCTGCAACTCACACATTGTCTCCCGTTGCGTCTTCCATTGTCTTTACAGAAGAAAGACTCGTGCGACAACTCTTTTTTTGAGGCAGAGAGCACATCACGTCTTTTCGGTGCCACTTCCCGCTCTCTGAAATGGCAACAATGAAACAACCCTGTTACCAACGGACGCACTAGCCGCGCTCTGCAAAAGGGGAAAAGAAACCATGAGGACACCATGAGGCCATATTTTTGTCTTCAGATTCAGCGGAGATAGTATCATCTCCCACTGCCAAGCCTGGATCACCGAGGGGAAACAGCATGTTGGATTTCAGATGCATCGTTTTGTTTATGTTCGTAATAATTGCAGGATAACTCTCGCAAAATCTATTCAAGCATTGAGCTCTGTATGATGTAAACCATTTATACGAGGAATATAATTGATATAATTGATTTCACAGACGACTTCTGTTATTCGAAGTAAATCGGGATAGAAACTATCACAAATACAAAAACAAAAAGTAAAATATACATTTTTAATTTCATGAGAAACAACTCAAAATAATTATTTAACAATCTAAATAATTAGATATATCCAATTTAAAGCCTAATAAATTTGGAATGTATTTTACCTAAATATAACAAAAATACGACTATTGATAATTCCAAAATCACCCTTAGTTTTCGAAGAGGTCGCAATATTTCTAGAATTGGTGACGTCATCGTCCAAAGCCCATGCCATTTCTCTCCTTCTAGCAAAGAAATTTATCCACATTTTTGATCCCTCTTTAATATATTATATTGTTGATTTGCTGATGACTGCCTTGATAAACCCAGAGCCTCGATTAAACGGAACAATGTTAATGGGGAATAAAGATTATTTTCAAATTCTCCCAGTTTTTATGGGTTGTTGGATGTAGCGAGTGTGGCCTCACCTTGTAAAGATCTACAGAGAAGGAGTTGATGGCGCCGACCATGCGAGATCGCGCCACCTCCGCCGAGCGGTCGGGCGCAGCTGCCTGCCCCGCCGCAGCAGAAACCAGCGCCGCCACAGCTGCAACCAAAGTGTGTGGTTAAGAGACTGTGTGGATAGTTTCTAGTGGATAGTTGGTTTACGGTTTGGGGGTGGATGCAGCGTAGACTAAAGGACGCAAGTGGTAATGGCATCTGTGTGCTTTGCGGTGATA